TCCCTCGGGAAATGAATTCAATTCTCTTGTACGCATAGACAAATTTTAACAACAGAATAATATTAGGGACATAAAAGCCGGTAATATCCTACTAGGAGAAGATGGCACGGTACAGATAGCTGACTTTGGGGTCAGTGCTTGGCTCGCGACAGGTCGTGACCTGAGTAGACAGAAAGTCAGGCACACATTTGTAGGGACACCGTGCTGGATGGCACCAGAGGTCATGGAGCAGGTGAGAGAGGAAAGTAACATTACATCTTCTTAGCTTGCGTTTTTTTGTGTCTTTGTTATTGGTCTTGCATTCGTTAGGTCCTAAATATTCATTAAGAGCTAGAGGCTTAAAAATGTGTTGTATACATCTGATGTCAACTTATTTCTGTTTTATTAACTCCTTAATGATTTATTCTGAACAGTTCTAGTACATTGCTTCTGACATTTTATATACAAAAATAAAAGTGTTTAGTACAAGTATATAGACATTTATATAGAAAAATAATAAAATAAAAATAAACGCTCCTTTTTAATCATTCTTTTCTGAAGATTAGTGAGTCTTTAAGGGGTTAACGTGTGTAACGAACGTCGAGTGTGTCCGATTGAACTCCCCTATCCAGCATGCGATTCGTATTAATATTAGTTAAAAGGGTACAGTAAACTTAAAAAAAATGTTGCTTTTAGTACTACATTGTATTTTTATTTATTCATACTATGGAAATCCTATATTATATCATAGTTAAATAAAGTACAAAAATTTACGTCAGTCAGAAGTTTAACATTTTTCTGTTTCTGATTTCGAAATAGTCGGCATTTTTGGCTTGTCGCTGTACCCTGAGCCTTTAACACGTTTGCTACAATTTCTTTGGCTAACAGTCTTCACTCATTAATGGTATTTTTTTTTAAATTATTCAAAAGGTAACAAAAAAAATTTGTTGATGCTTTGAGTGTCAGTCCATACATCAAAGCTTAATTCGATTCGTTTTACGTAAGATACGAGATCATTACCATTATAAATATATGACATTGTTAGTAAACGTATTAATCCCCTCCTTTCCCACATTTCCCGTTGCACAGTGTGAAAGTTTCAGTTAAATCCACCTAAAAGTACGCATGTCAAACTATATAGGGTGAGTAGTTTTTATTCCAAGGTCATTTCAAAGTTATAGTACCCCAAATCAGTAAATTTATCTCAAAATTATTAACACTAGAACTACCTGATGGGTCAAAATAATTCATTCCTGATTATATTTTTCCTAGTTATTGAATAGTTAACAGATGCTTCTCTGAGAAAGTACTAGAGAAATTGATTTAGCAATAAGCAAATAAAATTGCAAACCAATTGAAGTCCCAATAGTTACACTGTTGGGGTTTCTACAGACAATTTCAAAAAGACAATTTAACTGCTCGGTTCTAGTGTTAACTACGTTATGAAGTCCAAAACATACAGCCATTTAACCCTTTGCACTCGGCAGTTTTTCACTAGTAATATTTGAACATTTGATGATGAGATAAAGACGATATTTTGTGAAATTAACTCGAAAGGAATGCACACGTACATCGAGGAACAAAGTTATTTTATTTCAATATTTCTCAAATTGATATCTTATACATAGTATAATATTAAATATCAAATTTTATAACTTTATTGCGTAAAATCAAGTAGTGGGTGAGAGTCACCTCTCGAGTGCAAAGGGTTAAAAATCCATTTGCTGTCTTGAAAATACAACGTTTCTCTCCGACATTGTATGTTCACCTCGAAGGCACTAATAGGACTAGTCAGGTGTTCCATTTAAAGCGACTCACCCTGTATAAGAAGCACGAGCCTAATCCCATTATTGCCGTTGCAGTCCGGCCGAATGCGCGGTAAAATCAATTATGATATGCACGTCTCTTTTTAGGACCACGGATACGATTTCAAGGCGGACATCTGGTCGCTGGGCATCACGGCGATCGAAATGGCCAGTGGGACGGCGCCGTATCACAAGTATCCTCCCATGAAGGTGCTGATGCTCACGTTGCAGAACGACCCACCTACCTTGGACACGGCGGCAGACGAGAAGGATCAGTACAAGGCGTACGGCAAGACATTCCGTAAGATGATCGTGGACTGCCTGCAAAAGGACCCTACGAAGAGACCGACAGCAACGGAGTTGCTGAAGCACCCGTTCTTCAAGAAGGCGAAGGACAAGAAGTATCTGCAACAGACCCTGGTAGCGATTGGCCCAAGTCTCGAGACACGGGTGCAGAAAGCGTCGAAGAGGCAGCCAGGTACTTCAGGCCGGTTGCACAGAACAGTGACCGGTGAGTGGGTCTGGTCCTCGGAAGAAGAAGAGAGCGGAGCGTCCAGCGGTGATGAAGGCAAAGAAGCTTTGCCAGTGAACACGATCGAGAACCCTAGCAGCGAGGAGGAGCCCGAGGAAGAAGACTACGGGATTGTGAAGCTAGCGCCTAGTCAGCTCGTCGTGCAGAGCGCCGAGCAAAATGTTCCCATAAACTTGGTGTTGAGATTACGGTACGCCTGCGTTAGTTTACAGTTTGTGGACTGCGGATGCTTATGGGGATTCAGAATTGAAGAGTACTTGTAGGGGATCATGAAAGTTATTTAACACGTTCGCTACCAGCGCTTATCTCGGTGACGGTCTCATCAATTATAATATTTTCTTCGATCAAATCTTCTAAACAGAATGTTAGAAAAATGAAACTGAAACGAGTCATTGAGTTCCTGAATATAATGTCGTAATTTATAATTTCTAATAACAATATCTATAAGATTAATTTCATTTTCATTACATAAAACATAAGATTGCGGCCGTCACAAATATGTGACGCTGGTAGCGAATGTGTTAATTTATTTAGAACCTGTGATATGACATCTTTTAGTACTGTCGATTAGTACTTACAAAAAGTTGTTTCATTTTTCATTGAAAAAAGGGACATTTTCTAATTTTAACTTTTAGAGGGTATTCTACAAGAATTGAATTGTAGAGATTTATTTGTGAGAGATGCAGTTGGAAAGAACTGTTACTTTTCGTTTTAAAGATTATGGAGCCTTGCAGACATTTTTATTGTACGATTGTCTCCCTGTGAAGATTCGCAGTTTGCGTGTTTCTGTTATTGGTTTCCTTATTGTCATTGAATTCCTGCGTTGCAGACGACCCGAGACCTACTTCACCCTTGAAGATAAACCCGAGTACGTTCCTTTCCCACTTTGTTCCCTTGTCATTGTTTTTACCTGTGAAATAACCTGTGACGTTTATGCAGAATTTTAAGGGAATCCGTTTGGTTCGTTTCAGAAACCAGAAGCGAGAGCTTAACGACATTCGGTTCGAGTTCGCTGTTGGTGTGGATTCCGCTGAGGGGATTGCAGCCGAATTGGTCGGTGCAGGCTTGGTCGATGGCAAGGATATCGTTGTAATAGCTGCTAATTTGCAAAAATTAATAGACAGCGCTGGACAGTTACGGACAGTGACGTTTTCACTGGTAGGTCTTCTTTAGGATTTCAATGTCTTGCATAATAAAATAGAAACTCGTAACATTAATGAAACCGAAAGTTATATTTCATCGTCTAAGGGTCCCTTAATAATTCTTTTCTTTTCCAAATATATTTATAAGCTTTCCATTAACACTAGAACTACCAAACGAATCAAAATGATCGATTTAAAGATCCTTATTTTACAATTATTAAAATGGTGAAGATACTTTTGTGACAAATTTTAAAATAAATATTATTATCTATATTTGTACAAGTGCAACAATAAGAAGCGCTTCAAATATCAAGGAATGTGCTCTCCTGATTTGTATAACAAATTATAAGCAACTCACTCTTATTGCTCGACAGTTCTAGTGTTAACGATACATTAACACTAGAACTACTAAGCACTTAAACTGACTTTCCCAAATTTCTTTATAAAACTTATAACTGTGTATTTATTAAGATTTCAATTGGTTTATATTTCAGTGTAGGTATCACTAAATTAGCTTATTTAACGATTTCTCAGAGAAGCATCTGCACCTTCTCAGTTATTGTATAAAAATAAATCTGTAATAGGTCATTCTTACCCATCTGGTAGTTCTAGTGTTAAAAATAAAATGTTCCTTTGTCATGTAGAACTTGGACTAATTCGAGGTTATATTTATCTGTTCCAGAACTCTGGCCACGCGGCCAACGAGGTGCCAGACGACAAAGCGTTAATAGGATTTGCTCAGATCTCGATCACCGATTAGACCGCGCTTGCTACGTGTGTTCTGAAGTTCCGGGATAAAACCGTTCTTCAACCACCGTTCCGAGAATGGGAAGTACCAAAAGCTTGTTCGGTTCTTTCGACCACTTGGGGAACAGCGGGACAGGACACCGGGATAAAAGGAGGATTCGCTGCACACACACCCTCTACGCCGCACTATTTTATACAGCTTTTGCTACTTTCACTTCTTCCGAATTGTAATCGAAGCGCGACAGGACAGTTAGGTGCAGGGAGGGCGTTAGGCATACAGATTAGCTTGTAAAGTGTATTCAGAGCGTGGGGACAGTTCTTTTAGAAGCAACAGCGACAAAATACGAATTCATCTATAGTGAGAGGACAAGTTGGAGCAGCCCTATTGCTACGAGAGAAACCAACATGTCTGAATGGACAATGGGATGGCCATTTTTTAACCGGAATGTGACTTCAGAGTAATCAAGATATTGACTTCAGAGCGCTGACTAGAAGACACTTTATACATACATAGGTTTTAGAAATTCTTATCGAATGGCTAGTGAACAAGGTTGCAGATCCAGTTCTTGACATTGTACAAAGAACATGGGTCTTTTTATTCTTGGAGTTCCCCGTAAGAGAGCAATCGTAGCAACAGGGTTGAACGGAATTTTTAATCCCTGAAACACAGTTATGGTTTCGCGCATGGAACTTATGCTTTTGTGCACAGACAAAGAGCCAGGTACACACACGCAGGTATAGGGAAATGGAGGAAAATGGGGATACGTGGAGTGACAGTTTTTAACTGTACCGGTTAGTTTCCACTTGCTCTAATCATTAATGGCTGTAGTTCCATATATTCTGAACCTATATCACTCATACTACATTGATAACTGTAAATATTAGTAATCGAGTCGTTTGTTAAGTTTACCACTGTATAAGACACACAGACACACGCGTGCATACACGCATACACACGTACACACACGCATACATAGAACACAAGGCAGGGCCGATTTCAAATAAATAAGCGAGAGTTGGAAGAAAACCGAAACTCCTCAGAAGGTGCTTGCGAAAACATCTGACTTACTTATTTGAAATACGCCAGACATGCAATTCTTTGTACGGCTAAGGATCATAGTTAACGCGTAAAAAGGAAGAAACGAAAACGAACACGCTGAACAAACATGTTTTAAACGCATCGTGTACTAAAGCAGTCACCAGTTTTCCTGTATTATATATTATAGAAATTGTTAGCGTATTTCCGTATGCTTGAACGCTACAGGATCCGTAGAACACGCAAAAGTACTAATGGAACGTGTTTTGTACTTAATTAAATAGTGTTAAAATACGATTAATAGCGAGCGGGTTTGCGGGGGAGAATTTTCCAACGCGCCTTGGAAAATCTGTAGAAACTGGCCGCGCGAACGCTTTTCGAAAATCCTATCGACCCTTCGCAATTTTACCTTCGATCGTCGTCGTCTTCGTCGTCGTCATCGTAGTCGTCGTCGTTTCTTTTGTGCCCTTTGCATTCGACGTGATTATATTTGTACAGCAATCGATAAAAAAAAAGCGAAAAAAAAGAAACAGAAAGAATATTATAAACCTCGAATGAACCGAATGTTTCGTCCGTGAAACATCGCTGGATGCAAAGGTTTACGAGGTCGCCGTTGAATTATGGGGAATCAATGTTTGGTGTGCGATGGACGGTGAAATTTCTGCGAAGGGTCGTCGACCGCAGCGAACATCGGAAACACATGAAACGATCAATATCTGGCTGGAAAGGCTACGAACTTAATTGTCATTCGGAATCTTGCGAAATTCGGGGGTGAATTCGGGGACTCTGCGCGCAACGAGTAAATTATTGTAATTAGATTTATCGCCAGTGGATGTTCATTCCGATGTTAATCGACGTACGCGTAACACGACGAAACAAACGGAAAACACCGTTTTCCTTTTCATTCTCGAGATGTTACGGATCGATAACATGGAAACAAATGAATCTGTTTGATTTGAATATTTATTGCTTGAAGGGGGTTTAACGTGAATAAAGCCTA